CACATTCCGTGAGGGCGCGTCCCCGAGCACAGGAGAGCACACGGGCGTCGTCGCGGTCACTGGCACTGGTCGAGGAGAAGGCGGTTTGGAGCCTCCTGCGCCTCGGGCTGGCCGCTCGCCTCGCCCTCGGCTCTGCAGGACACGCGTCGAGGGGGACGCTCACACACGCACGCACGCACGCACACACACACGCGCGGAATCACTGTTTCGGGAGCTTAAGCGGCGGTGGCGACGGCGATGACGGCGGGGACGCGTCCGTCGCTGAACGGCGCGGGTGGCGACTGTGCCGAAGTATTATCGCACCCGTGCTGCACGGCGCTCGCGGCCACCCGCCAGCGCCCCCCCCCCACCGCGCCTGCTTCATAATCAATAGTGGCAGCATCACCACACACCCCTGCCTCAGCCCCTGCTTCGTTCTGTAGCCTCCACTCCGCTCTCCTTCCTTCTCCCTCCCTTCCTCTCTCTGTCTCTCTCTCCCTCTCTCCCTCCTTTCACCACCGCCGCACCAACACCACATGCTCACAACACTAAATATACTATTTAACCACCCAGATATATCTCGGCTCCTTGCCCTCTTGGCCCCCTCCCTGCCTCCCCCCAACCAGTGTCACCAGCTGGGCCAGCACCATCCCCCCCTCACCCCCCACCCCTCCCCACGCGCCTCCCTTGCACGCCGTCGGACACAATACGTGAGTAAATCTGGTGCGTGATGGCGCCCTGATGGGTCCTGTGGGGCGCCGCCGCCTCCCCCCCCTTCCCCTCCTCCTTCTCAAAGCCTTCCTTCCACAATCCAATCTTCTTTGAATCTCGTGCCGCTAACCTTTCTCTTCCTTTCCCATTTCTCATTCTCTTACTACACGTATTTCGGTTCGCGTGGCCCGTGTCCCGTGGCCCGTACTCCCATTGCTTTTCTCCCCAAAGGCAGGGGCGAGTGCGTGCGTACATGCGTGTAGCAGGGATGCTGAGTCCCCTCCCCCCTTTTCCCTTCTTCCCTTTCCCCTCCTCCTCCTCCTCCTCCGCACACACCTCTGACGCACGCGGGGAGGTCAGTCACGAGGGGACGGCGACAGAAAGGTTTTCCCCTCGGATCGCCCCGGCAATACGAGAGATGCATGACGCCCCCTTAAAACGGAGGAGGACACGGATGATGAAGAAAAAAAAAAGAAAAAAAAATAAAAGAAAAAAAAAAGAAAAAAAAAGAAAAGAAAAGAAGAAAAAAACTTTCAACAACACCGGACGAGCAGAAAATTCTCGTGGCGTTATTTAGAGAAATTTCAACCTCCTATCTTCTACACACCTCTTCTCTTCCCTTCTTTCTTTCAGCTATCATTCTCTCCTTCATATCCTTCATTCTCCCTATTACCCATTATCTCCATCCTCCATTTTCCCTTGACTCTCTCTCCCCTTCCCTTCCTGCTATCCACCGATGCCCAACACATCATTTACCCCCCTTTCTTTTCTTCTTTCTGTCTGTCTGTCTGTCTATTACACTTTCTTCCTCCCGTTGCTTTCTCCTTCTTCTCTTCAACTTTCTCCTTCTTCTTCTCTTCCTCCTGCTTCTCCTACTCCACCACCTCCTCCTCCACCTCTTCCCTCCCCCCTTTCTTCCTCCCTCCTCCCCTACCCTCTTTCCTCCTCTCCTCCCCGCCCCCTTTCTTCCTCCCTCCTCCCCTCCCCTCCCCTCTTCCCTCTTCCCTCTCCCACGCCCCCCATTTTGAGGCCCGCCATAAGACCGGATGATCCCCGCCCATTTGTATCGCTTCCCCGGCCGCCTCCTCCGTCCCTTGCCACCTTGGCCTGGTCTCGTCGGGGTCGCTATGTCAAAACACAACGAGTACCTTTTTTTTTCCTATCTTTTATCTTTTTATCTTTCATCTTTTTTTTTTTTTTCCTTTACAATCTTTCATCAGGAAATTATCCCCTCTGATCGCACTTGGCGGGCCCGAGCTTTTGCCATTAGCCACGCCGTTGAGAACCGGAGAGACACGGGGAAAAATAAACAAAGATGAAAAGCTGGGGGGGTACGGGAGGAGGCAGGTGAGGAAGGGAGGTGAGGGAGGTGAGGGAGGGAGGGAGGTGGACGGGGATGAAAGTGAAGATGAAGAAGGGGAGATGATAAAGATAAAGATGATAATGAAGATAAAGATGATGATGATGATGATGGTGATGGAGATAGAAAAGAAGATGGAAAGGGAAAAGAGAGGAGGGAGAGAGGGAGTGAGGGAGGAATGGGGGGGGGGGGAGGGAGGGAGGGAGGGAGGGAGGGAGGGAGAGAGAGAGAGAGAGAGAGAGAGAGAGAGAGAGAGAGAAAATGAATGAAAGAGAGAAAAAGAACAAGAGAGAAAGAGAAAGAGAGGCGCAAGAGCCAGCGGCAGCAATTAATCTCGGGTCCAAAGTTTGATCGTAAGTCACAGGTCGGAGGCGTCGCGAGAGAGGGCGAGGAGAGCACCGAGGAAGCCCCGAGAGTGGACGCCGTCGGCACTGGAAGCCCCTTTCCCCTCCCCCTCTGCCCCCTCCCCTCCCTCAACCCCTTGCCCACCCCCTCCCCCTCTCCCTCTGCCCCCTCCCCTCCCATAACCCCTTACCCTTCCCTTCCCCTCCCCTCCCCTCCCCTCCCTTAACTACTTACCCACCCCTCCCCCTCTGCCCCCTCCCTTCCCCTTCCCCCAACTCCTCCCCCCCTCCCCCCTTGGGCCTCTCCAGTGGCACATGTGTCATCATCTGTGTCATCGGCAAGGCCTGGCAATCGGCGACCGGTGGGCGGCGATGGAAAGAAAAAAAGAAAAAAAAAAAAAAAAAAAAAAAAAAAAAAAGAAAGAAAGAAAGAAAAAAAGAAAGAAAGAGAAAGAAAGAAAGAAAGAGATGAAGATATGCATACAATACGAGTCATAAAATTCCGAGAATTTGGGCATTTAGATCAATCAAATCATAACCAAACACAACACTTAATAACAATCATTAAAAAAGAAAAGAAAAGAAAAAAAAAACACTCACAATAACAGCCGTAATCAAATACGACAAACAATCCTGATTTCCCTTTTCTTTCTATTTATAACCAACTCCCGTAAGTATTCCCTTTATCAGCTCTTCAGGGAGCGATGATGGGTGGTCCCTGGGGAGGGGGGAGGGGGGAGGAAGGAGGAGGAGGAAGAGGGGGAGGAAGAGGGGGAGGGGGGAGGGGGAGGGGAGACGTAAGAGGGGTGGGGGGTGGGGGTGGGGCGGAGATCCCCCGGGGAGCATCTTAGCGCTCCCGGGGAGATAAGAGAGTAAAAAAAAAGCAGCTTTTCTCAGATCCCTTTCACTGAAGAAGAAAAAAATAATAAAACAAAAAATCCGATGTATCTTTTAGCTTTTCCGTTATATATATACATACTGTATATATATGTATATATATATATATTCGTTTCCTTCTTCGGCCGAAAAAAAAATATTGTTACTATTGTTTTCTTCACGTTTTTTTTTTTTTTTGTGTGTATCCCAATCTCTGAAAAGTTTTCTTTTCTTTATTCAATATCCTTTCTTTTCCTTTTTTTTTCGTTATGGAGAGGGTTTGGAGGCAGGGAAAGGAGAGAAGAAAGATTTCCTATACCGGGTAAAAAGTAACTGCGTATTCTAACTAAGCGAAAAAAGAAAAAGAAAAATCAATTCAAGGAAAGAAAAGAAAAAAAAAAAGAGGTTAGTTAATCGTTCTGGTGTTTATTCCAAGCGTTGTGGCACAATGATCACCTTTTGCCAATATCGTTATCTTTGTTTATTTTTAAATTTCATGTCAAATTTTCGACCCTTATCTTTTAAAATCTTCCTTCTTAAACCTAATTTACATATATAATCTTGAATATAAACAGAACAGCTACGATCTGTTTACAACTGAGAGCGACGGAACGTTTGGCTCATGATAAGGAAAATACGCCTCTAAAAATAACCTAACCTTGACTAACTCGGCGAACGCTATTACTCAAAACAAATCCCGCGACACGAAACAAACGGATTTTGCTTGAGAAGTTTTTTCTTTTCTTTTCTTTTCTTCTTCTTCTGTCTAGTTTACTTTTAGATTAGTTCAGTTAATTTCCCAGAGCCAAGTAAACGTGCGACATTTCACACGCGGCGAAAGACACATGGCGCGGACGTCACTTTGATTGAGATCTTCCCATGGGGTATTGCTTGCCTCTCGCTGGCTTGTTTTGCTTTTTTTTCGTTCTACTTTTTCAAAGAACGCTAAAAAAAAAAAAATACGCAAACAAATCAAAACAAAACACACACACACACAATCACAAAAACACACACACACACACACACACACACACGCACACACACACACACACACACAATCACACACACCAAGCAAACTCCCCCTTACCCCCTTACCCCCCTTACCCTCCTTACCTCCTACCCCTTACCCCACCCCACCACCACCCCTCAAAAAAAAAAAAAAAAAAAGAAAGAAGAAAACAATTAAAATAACGACCAGCAACACCTCGTTTGTTTACGCCTTGGTGAATTTACGAAGGCGATCCCTCTCATTAAAAACACCAGCTCGACCACAGCAGAGGGGGGGGGGGAGACAAACAAATATAGGAGTGGTAATAATTGGTGTTTACGACAAGCATTCTCCGATGTTCAACAATTAGCATAAATCGATGCCCTCCAGCTGGCCATCGGTTCTGTGAGAGGGAGAGGAAGAGGGAGGGAGGGAGGGAAGGAGGGG